GAGAGAGAGAGAGAGAGAGAGAGAGAGAGAGAGAGAGAACAAACAGTCCTTTTCTAGTAAGTCACTTACCTGGCTGTTGCTAGGAAACTGTTGGGTGGAGCCTAGAAGAAATGCTAACACTACTCCATTTTGGCTTAATTTAAAAAAATGAGAAACTAGAAAGAGGTGATGCTGAAGCAGGAATGGAGTCGATGGGATCTTTATCTGCTTCCTGTTGACTTTGGGGTGATGTGTCTCTGGGAAACCTAAGAAAATGGGGATGAGGATATTGGTCCAATCTTAGGACAACTGGCTGTTTCATCATTTCCCAGGGCCAATGGGATCATTTGTGGGTAGATAGGAAGGAGCTGGTCCAGTAGAAGCATCTGTGAGAGTAGACTACTGCATCTGTGAGTTGATTCTCTTGAGCTGTCCTGGGTCTAGACTTTGAGTAAATGCCTGGGCTTGGCAAGGTGCTGAAACACACACATATGTATGAGAGGTAGAGATTAAGGTTAAGTAGGTTTGGGAGAAAACCTTTTTCTTAGGTGTTCATTTGAAATCCTTAGGTCATGGTAGTTTGGTGTGAGAGGTGTCCCCAAACCAGGGAACAGGGAAGGAATCCCAGCCTTTGGAATAGGTAACAGGTGGGAGCTTAGGCTACTGACTGGCAGGTGCAATTGTCAGGATGGAGTCTTTTGGTCCATGAGAGGTAGATCTGAGTGGGTTTCCTGGATCTTATAAGTTCACAAAAGATATAAATTTGTTAACAGCATCAGTTGTCTTTAAGGCGAGCTTAGGGAAGACAAAAGCCTTTTGTGGAGCAGAAGCAACAAGAGGGGCTTTTTCTCTCTGCCTAGAAGACTGAATGTACATTAATCCAGTAAATTCAGAAGCATTGTTAAGTTTATACTTTAAAGAGTTCAAAGGAAACAAATTTTGAACTTGTGATGATGAAAGTGGATCATATGATGGAATGTTTTATTAGAGTTAGGCTAATTTATCAGAACTTCATTGGTTAATGCTAGGATTTTGAACTTTTGAAGTCTCAATATAACAGTGACATAGCAAGGGGAAGAAATCTGAAGCTTTTGTACCTTAAATTATTTTTTATCATCATTTAAGTCCGCCAACCTTTCTATCGTAAGATTACTGACATCAAAACGCCATTTTAGACCCTCATTTAGATCCTCACAACTTAAGCCTTTTATTTAATTATTTACAAGGGGACATAGAGTTAATCACTGCGGATCAGTTACCGCAAACTGAGTTTTTTTAATATAAGGAAGTAGTAGAAGATTACATCTTCAAAAGGTTACATCTGAACTTGCATATCATTTATTATGAGGCCTGTGGGCGAGGCAAACCTGTCTGCCTTTTTATTAAGAGATCTGGTAGTCTTAACTAGTTAACGAATTGACTATTAAGCTAATACAGTGTTGCATTACCTTGGGGGTAAGGAGCTAGTTGTCTGTTTTGTAGCTGTCAAGCTGCAGTTCTCTTAGCTGTCAATGTAATTGGAAATCTGGGAAGAATAAATTATAATCTAGGTGTCATAATACATTAACTAAAATGATAGAGGTTAGTCTATAGTCCACTACCTAAACAGTTCTCCCAGGTCCCCATTGTCTCCACTGTAACTCAGAGAAGAGGTAGTCTGGTCATCAGGCCCAGAGGATGAGAAGCTTTTTTCCTGTGGAAGAGGAACATGGGAGAGATGGCTCACCTTGTCGTAGGCAACATGAGACATTGAATTCTCCAGGTGTCCTCTGTTTGTCCACAATTCAGGCTGAGCCCGGCCAGCAGACAAGGCAATGAAGCATTCTTTCTTAGTGGTCATTGTGCCACAATCCAGGTGGAGTCCTTTGTCACTGTGCCCATATCTTCTTAGAGACCTTGGGGGGAGGTCACTGTTAGGATTTGGGAGTCGCTGTCATGGTAAGTTTAAACATTTAGTGTTATATTCAGCAGATTTCTGACAATATTGAGAGCCAGTATCTATTAAGCATATCTGAGAGAGACAATTTGTGCCTGTTTTTAATTATTTGTATTAGATTATATCCAGCAAACATAAAGCAGGAGGCTAAAGCATACTATTATAATTGACTGTATTGCTTCTAAACCTGTCTTTAAATATGTTTTTGAACACATTAGAGTATATGTTTTTTTAAATAAGGTATTCATTATTACCTAATATTTTAATTATAGTAGCTTTTGAGACTAAAACCTATTAGTTATCTTAGCTTTTAAGTGACTAACATCTGAAAGAAACAACATCCATTTACACAAGCAGGAATCGTCTATGTCTTAACAAAGAGATAAATGGTTAGGCATGTATTTTAAACTAGCTTTTGTTAATTCAAATGGGCCTTTATGACCTTGAAATTTTATTATCATATAAGAAATATTTTACACCAGGGTTGATATATATATATATATATATATATATATATATATGGCATGTTGTAGAAATATATAACATTAATTTTTTACCATCATTCAAAAGTCTTTATTAATTTAAAATATGAACCATGTTATGTTTTTAGTCTAAAAGGAGATCATAATAATAAACAGTTAATTAGGATCAAGAAATTTTAGTTAACCGTGAAAGGTGATTGGATCACCTATCTCTGGTGGTGAGAATCTGGAAATCAGATGCAAAATCTGAAGATCTGAAGAGAGCAATTAGTGGAGTGCTACAGAGAGGGTGGTGGCAGAGCTGACCAGTAGGGAGGCAGAAGTACAGTCCAGAGAGAAGAACCATCCAGAAGCCAGAAGACGGGATGGGGGCGGGGCAAATGCTGGTCCACATGGGCAGGCCCAGAGCCGGTGCCATGTGGATTTTGAAATTAAATCACCGAGCAATGATAAGACCAGGCAGGAAGAAACTGGGCTTAGAGAAAAGAGAAAGAAAATTGCTATC